TACTTAACTGGGGTAAATGGTATTAATGTTTATACTGAAAGACATGACCTGATTACTCTTCATTATTGCTTTTCTAAAATACTATTTGATCCATGTCCAGTATAATGTACCTCCTCAAGAATTTACGCCTGGATCACCGTTTGTGTGAATTAGTAGCCCCAAGGAATTTCATGACAGCTTACTACCACTTCGATGCAGACATAGAGGTCAAGAACTACATAAGAGAAAGTAAGTTTCGTGGATTCTTCTGAAAATCCTAAGATAGCAGGTGAGAAAATGTATTCGAGGGTAGCAATGGTCGGCTTTAGAGCGCATGGAGAAGGAGAGTTCTATGTACATCATTGAAGTATATGAAAATTCGTGTTGCATGATAAAATGACGAAATGACATGAGATACATCGATCAGTTATTCCTTCTTTCCTGGATCTTCTAATTTGAACACAAGGGCTCATTCTTCTTGTATTACGTGCGCATCTGCTAAGCTTTTGTAGCGTGGCCCAAGTGGTTGGGCACACAACAACCAACAAGTCTCACCAGAGCAAGGAGAAGTGGTTGAAGAAATGAAGGATGATCTTTCTTCAGAGACAGAGCTTTTTATATGTGACAAGACTAAGAGAGTTCAGGTTTCACATAACAACGAGCAACGGTTTAGACCAATCAGGAGATAGAAGATGGGACAGATTCGGCCAATCAGAAGACATGTATTGGAAGAAAGTAAAGAAAAAAGGAAAGCTTCTGAAAAAGGTAGGTTCGAACTTCATATGCAAAGGATACTAGTCTTATGACTGTACAGGTTTTAACACACCAAGCTACAGTGACACAGGCACTAGACTACAATGCAACAGGTACAAGGTTGAAGAATCTGCATGCTCTACATGGCCCCCTCCCAGATTGAATCACGTCCTCGTGATAATGTGAATATTGTAAAAATAAAAATGAAACGAAAGAACCCAAGGAAGAAGCTATATAAACTGTGTGTTAAATGCCAACCCAACACTATATTTAAAAAAACTCAAATCTCAATCTCTCAAATCTTCACAAGAAAATTGTACATATCAATTGTTCTTGGCTCTCATTGACGGTATCGCACCGGCCTCTGGAGATTTGCCCGATTGCGTAAGTTATACCCACCTGCCTGTGGCATGATCGGACCGGCCGGCACAACGGGAGCTGCCGGAACAGCCGGGACTGGAACAGCCGGAACTGGAACAGCTGGAACTGCCGGAACTGGAATAACCGGAACTGCCGGAACCGGAACAGGCGGAACTGGAATAGCCGGAACTGCGTCTTGCACGTAATCAATTAGCGCCGGTTGAGGTAGGTGTGCTGGCACTGGAGCGTGCTGCTCCTCCGGTACTTGAGTCGTTGACTTGAGCCGGTTGATGTGCACCACCTGGAGTTTCCCTGTATCACAGTGCTCAATCCTGTACACCACGTCATCGATCACCTCGACAACTCGATACGGCCCGGTCCATGGCTTGAAGAACTTCTTTGTGTTGCCTGCTTTCACAGCTGGGTTGTGTAAGCGCACCTTGTCATTGATCGCAAACCGTGGCTTGGTCGTCTTTGCATCATAGTAGTCCTTCTGACGTTTCTGTGCCTTAGCGCCAGCTGATAGAGCGTGAGAAAATGCCTGCTGCAAGGAGATCTAGAGACCAATCATATAGTCAGGTACAGATTTGACATGTTCTCTGGAGTCGTTAAACATAATATCCACTGGCAACTTAAGCTCTCTGCCGAACATCAATCTAGCTGGGGTTTCCTTGGTTGAACTGTGCACGCTACTACGATACGCCAGTAAACAGCGTTGAATATGCAGGTCCCAGTCATTGTGATTGGCATTGACTCTGGCACTCAGCATGTTCTCAAGTGCACGATTCATCCGTTCAACTAAACCATCACTAGAAGGATGATATGGAGTCGTGCGTGTCTTCTTCATATCTAACAGTTCACAGATGGATTTGAACAAATTTGACTCAAATTGCGCACCTTGATCAGTGTGGAAAGACAGTGGCACACAGTAGCGACAAATGAAACCATCAATCAGTGTCGAAGCTATTGTCCTAGCAGTCATATCCGGGATGGCAAAGTCATAATTCTCCGTCGCAAACTGACAGGTACATCAAGTTGCAGAAATGAGTTGCTAACATCTACTGAAGTGTACGTACGATACAATAAGCCATCTTGCAGAACCAGCCGTTTCCACAGGTACGGGATAGCGCCAGGCATGCCGATGGCACAAACAAACAAAAATATTGTGGCCAGCTGTCTTTGCTGGTACGGTACGGTACGGGACAGATACGGCATAGCACCAGGCGTGACACAAACAAACAAACACCAAATTAAAGCTGTGTGGACCCTGGCTAGCGCCAGACGTTACTGAAGTAACGTCTTCTGCATAGCCGCGGGAATAAAATGAAATTAGTGCCGGACTCACTACTAATTACACGTGATCTCGAGTAACTCATCCGTTATCAGGTGAGACTGATCAAGGTTAGGAAACATGTGCTCCAGCAGCACTACATTTCATAGCCCTCAAGCTGTCAACACATCATCAGAGGTGCAAACTGACAGTGACTCACTGTGTGGTGAAGGTGTGTCTATTTGTTGGAGCTGACAGACTTGTGAAAGGCTAGCTGGCTCTGCCGTCTGTTTTGCATCACTCCATTAGTGAGTCAGACTCACATTCCTAACTGGGGCTTCACAAGGCAATGTGTTCATCATGATGCAAATGGAGTATAAATACTTCCACCAAAGGAACAACCGCCACAATATAATGATCTTGTGATAGTTCACCACCTATCATAAAACTTCATGTCACTGAAAGGGAGTCCTCTCTGCCTTGAGCACATGCAGCCCTTGTATTGCCCAAACACCTAATACTTCATTGCTGATTGATGTGTGCGTGCTTGTGATTTGTTGCAGACCTACCTGAATCCTTCTGTCACAGTAGCTGTGAAAACATACCCGAGAATGAGCGTAGGTGCGAGAGTGGCTGCATCGGGACTGTCTATAATTATACTTGTGTTGGTGAGTCGTCCAGTATATGCAAGAACCTTGTTGTTCTGTTCAAGGACCGCATATGCACAATTACATTAGAGCCTACCGGCTCAGAACACAAACAGCCTGGCTAGTGAAGCTCTTGGAATTTTGCTGACATTTTGAGTAGATACTGCAGGCCACTGCAACCATGAGGAAGGTTTTGTTGCTGGAGATTTCTCCACGCCTGAGCCTAAAAAAGGCACAAAATGGATAAGAATTAATTCAAAACTAGGGACAACAAGGAATTGTTAGAAAAATAAGGAATAAAAATTAGGAATGGGAGAACTTCAATTTTCCAGAGCTGAGGGGGGAAAGTGGACTGCCAGAAAAGAGACAAAAATGCCAGACCCACCAGGACTAGAAACCTGGACCTTGCTTGGTATGAGCAATGCCCTAACCAACTCAGCTATGGGGCCAGGCTGAACTTAGGCGCTTATAGGCTATTCAGACTACGGCCACGTTTGTCGTTTTTTATTTGAGTGTTTTGGAGGTGGTTTGTTTTGTCGAGATGGAGGAGACGTGCTGCCGTGTTGCCGTGTGCTGCCGCTGGTCACCTCCTCATCAGGTACAAGCTGTGTGGCACACGGAGTCAAGGTATCCACGCATTCACCTGGACCCCACTGCGGATGCTTGAAAAAGTGACTGTGGTATTGCTGGAAATTGGGCCACATCGACGGCGCTGCGACCAGATCGAACATCGACTCGTCCGATGACGTCCCGGTGGCAGTTGGTAAACGGATTTGCTTGTACAATTCCCTGCCTTTCCCTGCCTTTCTTTTTTAGGCTGTCCACCTTGTTGTGGACTTCTTGCTGGATGAAGATTTTTTCACCTTGCTGCTGATTCAGTAGGGAGGTGGCTTTTTGCTCCTTCGCCGCCCGACTGGACATATATTTGTCCAGGCGGTGAAGGAGATCTGCCCAAATTTTCAGGAAGATGCGCTCCGCATTGTCGGAAAACGATCTGTTCGGCATTTTCACTACCACTGACAGACTTTCGCTACAACTGACAACAGACTGCCAAATTTCCACACTTCTGCATGTACTGTGACAAACGACAAACGAAACGAAAATCTGGGGTCCGAGCTTGTCGGTCACGTTTGCGATTTCGCGCTTCAGATCTCCCGCCACGTTCGCCGTCACCATGGAAATACTGCCGTAAACGTCGATTTGGCCTTAGTCTGAATAGCCTATTACAAGTTTTCACTGCAAAGGCAACTCCCCAGATGTGTCCCACATACTGATGGCACTTGGGTCTGGGTTTGACTATATACTAGGCTCACATAGTCCAACTATAGAGCTCTAGTTGAACATATACTAGGGTGACACAGTCCAACTATAGAGCTCTAGTTGAACATATACTAGGGTGACACAGTCCAACTATGGAGCTCTAGTTGAACATATACTAGGGTGACACAGTCCAACTATGGAGCTCTAGTTGAACATATACTAGGGTGACACAGTCCAACTATGGAGCTCTAGTTGAACATATACTAGGCGGAAGCAAAATATTAACGCGAGCAATGAGAGCTGAAAGAAAATTACACCAATTAACGATATCAGGTGACAACAGATGAGATAAATTCACCAAAAGAAAGTAACCATGCAACCACAAACGAGAACTACTGATCTAAATTCACAAAAAAATTGAATGTAATCATTTTTTCTGCCTGCACAAGATCGGTTTGGTGGTAAAGATGTAGGTAGACTCCAATAGACGCAAATACCTTTGACTCCGTGAACGAGACCAAACGGAAAAACACTCAGCAGTATAACTAGAACGACAATCACTATCCTGAACAAGATGGTTAGCAACAGAAGATTCATACACCCTTACAAAACTACTAGAACCAGTACATGCTTTGGAGTTACTTGGCAAGGAAACTGACCTGTCAGTCCTTGCCACTCCTGCCGTTCCAGAAGAGGCCGCCTGCTGCGATGATGCTCCCTTTGATGTACCAATGGCTGTTGATGTTGATGATGATGAGGAGGAGGAGGACAAGGAGGATGCTGACGCCGACGATGACGACAGCGACGGAGACGATAGTGACTCTGTCAACTTCTTCCTAGAGCAAGTCACAGGTCCCGCAGACACATCTGGCGGTTTCTTAGGTGGTCGGCCACGTTTTCTGCCACTGGAGGTGGACACAACCGAACACGGTAACGAGGAAATCAATAACGACGAAACCGAGGATACGAACGACTATGACGGGATAGAAGGAAGAGGCGGTAAAGACGAAGGCAATGACGAACATGCCGATGACGACGAAGAAGACAACGGCAACCAAGTCGGTTCCGTCCCCAGCGAGGAAGCGATTCCAGTCTCAGTACCATACTTGGGGGGACGTCCACGTCTAGGCCTCGATGACCTTGCCTCAAAAGGCATACCGTAAAAGCCCCTGTATACGCCGATCCGAAATTACGCCCACCCTCCGTGTACATGCCCAGTCTAGGCCTCCCGCGTTTGGGCCTCTCAGAGAGGCCCAAACGCGGCAGGCCTAGGAAAAACCCATCACCTACACGGCAGGATAGTTCCCTGCCGCTGTCTGCCGTTCCCCCTCTGACATCTGTGTTGGACGGGCTTGAGCTTGGCAGCTCTTTGGAGGTGCGTGCGGAACCGCCATTGGTGCAGCCCTCGGGTGTGCCTAAGTCTGCCTCTGGGTGCTTTGCATGGGGCTGTGCCTCGAGTGGTGACAGCACCTCTGCCTCCCCCTGACCCTCCTCCTTCGAGGTCTGTTTTGGTGGGGAGCACCCGTGGCGGTCGATTAGTCCCACCGGAACCAGAGCTGGATTCAACAGAAAGACCTACAACCATGGCTGCAACAACAACACCAGCTTCACATCCAACAACAACACCAGGTTCACATCCAACAACAACAACTAATCCACAAAACAAAGCAGCAAATGACACAGACCACGGAGATCTACAGCAGATTACAACCGGACCTATGAATTCACGGTAAAAATACAAAGGAAACAATCGGAAAGGACGACGACTGACATGAAGGCAACGGCATTCACGGTTGGCGTGGGTGGTGCATGTGTGACGCAGGACGATGCAAGTGAGGAGGAGAGTCAAACCGCTGTGGATGACGGAACAGGTTCTGATTCGGACAGTGAGGGAGAAGGTGAGCTGAGTGAGGGTAAGAGTGAGGGTGAGGGTGTGCGCGTGAGTCGAGATTGTGTGTGTCCGTCTCGTAATAACAAGTCTTCAGTATACAATCATTTGGTTTCTAGTACTGACTGTTGTCGTACTTATTCTGATTCCTGCTTTTCTGTTTTGTGCCGTGCTCGTTATGGTTATCTTTTGCAGTTACACGTTTTGAAAGCTGTTTGTCAGCGCATTCATAAGCCAAATTTGTGTGTCCAAAAAGATAGTGTTATTACCCTAAAATTGTTCAAAACAATGTTCTTTTGTGTAGTGTGGCAACGTTGTTGCCACTTGTGCCTAAATTTGTTTTGTCACCTTCTTGTTTATTATTGTTATTATTTAAACACTCGGCGAGGAGACAATAATTTGATAACCGCAATAAATAAAACTAGCTGAACCGACATTTATGTACTTTATTCATGCAATGTAAAAACGGTGGAGACGATGTGCAATAAAACGATGAAAATATGAAGAAATGGTGTAGGGAAAAAATATGGATTCTAACAAGTTTTCGTACAACACTCATTAGGAATCGTCGTTGTACTAAAGGACACTGAGACAAAAATTGAACTATTATAGAACATCTAAGTTAGAGAAATAACACTAAGAGCAACAACAGTGAAATTTACAAGTGTGAATTTTAACAATCAAAGCGAGAAATGAACAAAGGAGAAGGGAAGGAAAGACAACGTGATAACACATAACAGCAGTACATTACACCTAGAACATTAACGGCCAAGCTTGGCCGCACTAAACACGACACGTTACTTGAACAATTTCAACCCAATTATACTATCTTTCTGTACACACAAATTAGGCTTGTACAGACGCTGATAGCTTCCAACACTTTTAAGGAGGCTCCAACCTTCTGCGCTGCGCAGCCGGTCTGGCGCTCTGTTTTTTTGCAGGAAAAGTCTTGTTTTTGCCGATAAGTGCGAAAAGTTGGGAAATTCCCATCTCAACTTACTAAAATTTGAACTCCGCGATCGACAGTCTTATCAGAGAATATTGTTTCATTCTTCACCTGTAGTCTTCCCTGGGCCCCATCGAGGTTCCTGTTGTTTTTTCCTCCGTTGTGTCAGTGGGTATCAGGGCATGTTTTCAAAAGCATCGCTGGTGTGAGCAAGAAGTTGACTTTACAGCTCGATTTCTCGAGATCCTGAATAATTTTGCTTGACGAAAAAATGAACAAGGAGAACGGAGCCAAGCGTCTCGTTGGCTGTGTAACACCAGGCACCAAAACCTACTGTAAGCGCGTTTTGGAGAGAGAGACTGAAGTGGGTGCACAGACTCTGGTAAGTGGATCCACTTCTAATTCTCAAGTGGCGAAATATATTCCTACGCTGAAAACATTGCAGTCTTGAGTGAGTGGTAAATCGTTGGTGAGCTACTGCTCAGTGACTTGGGCTATTTACGAAAGCTGTGACCTGTCAGCTGCCACCGTCGCCAGCAGTAAGTCATCACCTGCGTCCACTTGAATAAAATACAGCACTGAAAATTGAGTATGTTGTTTTGCAGTACTATTCTCTATTGTCAGTGTGTGAAGTATTTTGTAAATGTTGTGTTGTACAGCACCAGTGATTTGAAAATATTCCTACACTACTCGCACCAGTTCTATTATGATGAATGCATGCACCTCTACCCATAAGCACTATGTGCATGCACATACGCAGGCACGCGTGTGAGCCTAAATATTGTTTGTGTGTGCGCGCGCAGTGCATGTTGTGTGTGCGCGTGCACAAGTGCATGGACAGCAGAATATGGTAACTAAGCTCAAGAGCATGCATTTTGCATGTGGGTGTATGCTATTGCGGGTGCGCGTATATGACGTACGTGTATTTGTGTGTGCAAGGGGTACTTGTTTGTGAGCATGTGCATGTAAGCGTACATGTATGTATCAATGTGTGCAATGCGCATGCACCCACATACACTTGTGGTTGTTCCATGTTATTGGGAATAGTGTATGATTATACCTGATGGATGCTACACTGATTACTAGCAGTCGTTCATTGCCAATATTGAGTTGAACCTGCATCTACATTGTACATGTACTACAAACATGAAACTGCCCCCCCCCCCCAGAATATAATAATAATTGTTATCCTCCTCAAGCTCTTTGCCTGTTGCTTTATGAGAAATACTAGGAGTGAACTATTGCAAGAGTTGTGATGCAAAGCTGGTCTGAACTGTGCTCAGGGTCAGTAGGCCTCGGCCTGGATCATGAATAACGTTGTGCATGGATCATGCCGATATCCAGATCAAGGGCTAAAAAGCCCAGGAACCATGGCCTCATCTAGTCTCCATGTATACTATAACAATCTGGGGACCATTCAATGCTTATGACACAAAAAATTGGAGTAATACCACAAGGAATGCATAGAATGATCACCTTACCTGAAAAATAGCAATTCCAAGAATGGTGGAAAATCGGCCAATTTTCGGTCCTATTTTTATTTTTGGAGGTCTAAAATGCACGGTAACCCCCTAAAATTATATATTTCTAGTTTCTATGAAGTATGAGGATCCCAAAAATAAAATAAAAAGGGCATGTCCATGAAGAAAATATGAAGCTGTGCACCCAATTGTACTTTGCGGACGGGCATTTCTGCGAAGTTCATTTTTGTACCAAAATTACTATTTTTCTGAGTAGTCAATGCTGATCGCCAGATTTTCTTGCTCATATGCTTCACTGTGATGTGTGAAAGGACTTGCAATCACAAAGAGAAGCCAGACAACTGGTAAATCTGAAATATGACCCCAAAACAAGCAAATTTAGGCTGAAATCGATAAATACACCCACCCCTAGAAATACACCTCAAACAGCCTTATCTCCGCGGAAACACCCCCTGAATTTTTTTGTGAAGTAACATGGGATGATATAGAGCACACTCATCCACAAAAAAGAGAGGGTTTATGAAGAAAAAAAATCACCCCCAAAGGGTTGGAGCCTCCTTAACTGTAGTCCATAACCATGACGACCACGGCACAATACAGTGAACGAAGGGTCGGAATACGAATTGCAACAATCAGGACTAGCTAGCAGATGATTGTACACTGAAGACTTGCTACCACGAAACCTACGCACAACACTAACACTCTCACCGGCATTCTCACCATCACTCCCATCACTGCTCTCCGACTCACTGCTCTCTCCGCCGTCCGTTCCATCCTCCGCTTCCTCTGTACTCTCTCTGTCTCGTCCATCCCGCCTGACCGGGTCCATTGAACTCAACTCAGCCGTCACCCTGCTATCACATCCCTCCCTTCGCCCTTGTCCGCTGAGTGCGTAGCTTCTGTTGTAGTTGGACCCAGCGCTAGACGTAGAAGCGCAAGACGTAGAGGCGCAAGACGTAGAGGCGCAAGATGTAGAGGCGCAAGACGTAGAGGCGCAAGACGTAGAGGCGCAAGGAGTAGAAGCTAAGGAATTGAGAAGGGTGATACTGGTTAGCACGGAAGAGATCAACTGCGAGACTGTGTGGAACACGGAAATCGGATGTGTGTTATCTAGTCCAGCGTCCGCCCCACGAGGCAGTGACCCAGTGACTGTGTCGTGTGTGACATCCCACAGCGGCAGGCTTCGCGTGTTGCTGGATTCGGGTGCCAAGGCGTCATCTGTGACTGCAGCATTGGTGTCCACAATCGATGCAGAGCACGTTGGTGTTAATGTTGAGGTGAAGCCGTCCGGTGCGGAATCAACCCAACAGCGGATGGACAAGTTCGCCATCACGATCCTGGGTAGCTCCGCAGTCATTCCGATAATATGTGCTCTCGTGAAGCCAACATTAGAGCTTGATCTGAAGTGCGCAAGTCCGCAGACCATTGCTCAGTTGTCAGAAATGGTGAGCACTCATAATATTCCACCTTGGCACCGCCACAGCAGCGGATTACTCGTTCTGGGCGTGTAGTCAGAGCCCCGGTCGTTTTTGACTCGTGAGTTGTAGTACGCCGGTGAGAAGCCCTATGGTGGGGAGAATGTTGTGAAACCACAAGTTCTCGAGGGTGAAAGGCCTTCTCGCTTGTGACATTGTGTTCGTGTCAATGCAGTTGTATCTCGACTCCGCCGTACCGCTGATGATTTCGAAGTAGTATACGCTACATGCGCTATGTGCGGTTTGCTGTGTGCGCTGTAGTTGTATGTTGTATGTGTATGCTTTTCTCATATACGCTGTCATTTTCACGCTATAACTACCTGGTGGTTTTAGTGTTAGTTTTTTTCAGTTGTTCATTCAGTTATTAGTCGAT